TAAACTTTTTGCTTAGGGGTATAATTAGTTGTTTTTTTTTAAAGCCAGTATATGTAATGAGAGCAGCTGTGTTTCAAAACTCTTGACCTATTTAAGTGAAAGTCACAATTTGAAAAATGTGTATGGTTATATAATGGTAAGTGGAGTCTTGATACTTCTCAACTATTTTAATCTAGATTGGTGATTAGGTAACTAAACACAATTGCACGTTTACAAACAAGACTATTAAGTTTAACCTTCTTGTTAAAGTTAATCTAACTAATTATTTATCTGATAAATTGATTAACATAATGACACATTAGGGAATAGTTAATGTTGAATGACTTCAAAGGTTATTTATTAATTCATCCATCAATTGAAAAAATGTTCTTTTTTTTAATTTTCTTTTGATGATAAAAAACTTAGTCATAGCATGTTGACTTTTCTTTCAATTCATTTAGAAAAGAAAAAACAATCTACATTCAGAAAAGTGAAAGACAATGTTCTTAAACATATAAACACTTTCAGTGGTTCACATTTCTTAATTTGGCTTACATAATATCATTCACATCGATAATGAATATGTCAACAATAAATTATCTTACCTAGAGATTGTATTATCACCATTCATTCATATAACAGTTTATTATTAAACCTGTTAATTCGAATCTCGCGGAGAGGGATCACAGATGCGCACTTCTGAGAAGTCTCATAATAGGACGAAATGTCTGTCTAGTGCTTCCAGGTTTTCCATTGTGATCTAGTTTTAATTGACTCATGATCTGAACTATTGAAGTGACTATAATATCTGCGAAAATCTCTTCTGATATTAATCAACATTTATCATATGCTCACTAGTGACTGGCTTCATGAGGTATTTCCTGGAGTTTTAGTAAGTAGCAGTGATCAGTGGAGTTCAACCAGGTCTGTTATGAGATAGTAACTCACTGATGACAATGGTGGATGTGTCGCTAAATTTCATGGATCGGTTGAAGTTAGACATTAACACAGTTTGATGCCGGCCAGTTCAGTGGTCTAGAGATTAAGCGCTAGCGAGACTGATAGGTTCTGGGTTGGAATCTCGGGAGAAGGGATCATGAATGCGCACTACTGAAGAGTTCCACAGAAGAACAAAATGGCCATCCAGTGCTTTCAGGTTTTCCATGGTGGTACAGTTTCAAATGACTCATGATCTTAACTATTGAAATTACTATAATATTCACAAAATCCTTTCTGAAATTTCAAAGTATTGACATATTCTGACATTTCACTTATATGAAAATGTCACTGTCATTCAATATTACATCTTTGATACAATATAGAATTTTCAGAACAACGTTTTTCTACAAGTTTTCATTTTTTAATCCTTGATCGATCCTGACAATAACTATTTACTGATTGCTAGTTAAAACTTAAGAGTCTAGTCAATCGACATCTGAATAATATGCATTCTTTTCATTGCACATTTCTAGCAACTACAATGTCTCTGATTGAGCTATTTTGTAACTTGTATAACGAAAGATTGTAAACACTTCATAAACACATCTTGATAGGTTGTACCTATTACTAAACATAATGATGTGTTCAAACAATCTAAAACAGATAACTTGTTAAAATATCTAGAGGGCAGAAACAAGTAGCTCAGATTTTTAAACAGGCCTCCAATGAAGTTAATTTTATATTATTAAAAAATATATTACATCAATAATGAAGTATAATGTTGCTTTTGCCTTATTAAATAAATACAATACTTATATTACAAGCAAAGATGGATAGTGGCTAGCAGTGCAATCCACGACGCACGTTTTGTCTTATTTGGGACTCGTCAGCTGGATGTACCTGCATCTCAGAGTTGATATTCACTCTGGGACTCGAACCTAGTACCTTTCGCTTCAAACACCATCGCATTATCCACTCAGCTACTGAGTCCTGATAGCCACTAGCTTGTGCAACGGGGTGAAGTTCAAATTCAGTTCGTATTGTTTGTTTGAATTTTCCCATTGATGTGTTTAAAACTGCAACTGGTCAGTCTTTTATTGGCCATATGTGTATACTGCGTATATTGCCTCGATATTCTCTTAATTCACAAGTATTATAAGCAATGATGGATAGTGGCTAGTTGTTGAAAGATTCAAACAAACAATAGTATGTGAGTTCACTAATTATATTGTTTGTATATAAGGTAAATAGTACATACTAGTTGATCTATTGTTTAACTTACTATGATTCATATTATTATACCATGTATAAACAAAAACAAGAATGTATAACGAAGCCATTCTGTTGATACCCTTCAATTTTTATCTACCTGTACATTTATTTATTAAATAAACTTTTCAGCTTGATAAACAATCATAACAAAACAAATGTAATCACCTGCTCAAATGTTACACTGATTCTATTCTATTCTATTATTTATTTATACGTAATCAGAATATTACTAAAACAAAATATAATGTAAACTCCCCAACCAATTGGTACCAATACGTTGCTAAGTAACACTGATTAATCATAGGTAACTAAATACACATTTTTAAGTGTCCTTAATACCTAACCTTTATTTATTTTGAAATCACATATGATAACTTTTTTTATAAAAAAAAAGAATGTTGGTGATAATATTAGAAAGTTTATAGTAAAATAATGATATATTTATGATTTTATAGATGAGATCATGAAGCTAGAGCACCATGGAAAATCTGGAAGCACTGAAAGGCCGTTCGGTCCTATTGGTGGACCCCTCAGCAGTGCGCACCCATGAACCCGTCTCGCGAGATTCGAACCGAGAACCTACCAGTCCCGCGCCAGAGCATTTAACCGATAGATCACTGAGCTGGCCGGTAACCAACGGTGGTAATGTCTAACTTCAACCAATCCACCAAATTGCGCGACCATTTTCTATTGTACTGAGGTAGATATCTGTCTCTACCTATTTAAGTTGTTAATGATTTGTCACTTAGTATAACTCACTTCTTCAGAGTAATGTATTCTCAAATTTGTTTCGTCAAGAGAACTCTATTTTGAAGTCAATTCACAGTGATTCAATAAATGAGATAGACAAGTTGACATATCTAATAGAAATAACAGCTAAAAACAATGTCAATGAATGAAAAGTCTTGAACAGTTACATTACATAGTTACATTCAACTGATGAAGTTTATTTAGTAAACTTTGATGATAAACTAATATATTACTGAAAACAAAGTGCTCGACAGAATACTCAGTTAAGAATTAAAATATCTGGTAAAAAACAAATATATTGACTTAGCCTATCATAAACAATAATTTCCCTATAACGCAATCGATAGTTAATAATTCTATGTTTATAATGAGTCTTCCTGTTTTAAAAAAATAGTTGCCTTGGTTATTACTAAGAATATTTTGTCGGTAATATCAAACTATTGTGAAGTACACATGTTTTGTTTCCATTTGATTTTGTAATTCAAATTTGACTGATTCGCGCTAATCACTTAAGTAAATTTAGATTGATCAACTGAAAACCAAAAATTTAATAAATTTATATTGTGATCAATATTATTATTCACAGCTCGTGAAGGGTTGAATCTAGCAAGTAAATAAACTAAAGATCAAACATGAATAATTTTTTGTTTAGCGCTTTTTAGCGAGTTAGTTTTCTATAGGATGGGGTCGCTAACCCCATGCACAACCCCTCTCTTTTATCCGGGCATGGGACCGGCAGTAGCCCCTGGAGGAGCTACAGGCAGAGTGGATAAGGCACACATTGAGGAAAGCACCCAAATGCATCAAAGGTAAGCGCTTACTTAAAATCCTGAAGGCCAAAGGAGAAGAGGAAGACCAAAGAACACATTACGCCGAGTAATGGAGACAGACATGAGAAGAAAGAAGAAAAGTTGGATAGAATTACAAAGGAAGGCCCAGGACAGAGGGGGTTAGAGAATGCTGGTCGATGACCTATGGTCCACTAGGGGTAACAGACATAAGTAAGTAAGTATGTCAGACCATACATGTCAAAGTCTCATACAGAAATTTAAATAAATTATAACATCAGCTTAATTACGTTTTATTACTTTCTAAACCACGAATTTGTTGATATCGTTGTCAAGATCCAACTTTATATCTTAGTTACTTGCACATATTAAACCCTCGTGGAGGAGCATAGGCAACCCAATAGCACTCTCCATTCAACTCTGTCGTGGGCAATCCTTTCCAGTTCTTTCCAGTTGATATTCATCAATTTCATGTCTACTTCTAATTCTCAATGTGGTTTGTTCTTTGGCTTTCCGTTTTTCTGTTTTCCATCAGGATTCCAAGTTTGATCTTGCCTCGTGGTGCAGTTTGGAAATTTCTGTAATTTATATCCTATTCACTTCCAACATCTTTTCCTAATTTACTCTCCAATCGGAAGTTGGTTTGTACTCTCCCAAAGTGGGCTGTCACTGATGGTGTTCGAGCACCGAACATTCACTATCTTGTATAGACAATGGATCATAAATACTTGTAATTTTTTGATGACGGTTCTCTAGGTTTTAAGCGCCGTGCAGTAGGACTGTCTTGACTTTGATGTTGGTTGACAGTTGTTTCGAGTTCTATATGTTGTCCCACTGTATAAATAAGTCCGTTGCTTCACCATTACATCTGCATTCGATCCTCCTTGTTTATCGATGATGCTTCTGTCCAGGCACGTAAAAGATTCTACCCCTATAGTATTTTCTCCATCAAGTGCGATTGGGTTGATTTCTCCGTATTGTATTTGACGATCTTACTTTTCTCTTTTATATGTTGAAGCATACTGATTCAGATGCTACTGCTATACTGTTTATCTTGACCTTCATTTGTTAATGTATATAGTGTGGATGAGCTAGGTCTCCATAAAGTCAAACTCATCCAGTTACATTTAATGTTATAAAGATATCACTTAACAATTAGTCACCATAACTTCATATTTTTCAATAAGATCATTCAACATTACTAATAATTGCAGTCAAGATAATTCAATCAAATGCACACTGACACAAAACAAAACAAATATTACTACTTACTTTGCTAAACGTTTAGCAGATGAATAATGTTTAATCACAGTATTACGCTTTTGTAATTTATCAATATAATCATAATCTTTATCATTCAATTTAGTTATACTTGACAATGTACGTTGTGGTGTATAATGATATGTAGTTACATTCATAGTAGTATTAGTAGTATTATTATTAATAGTAGTAGTATTATCCATAATATAATTTTGACTAGGGAAACTACAATTATAACTTTTATTATTTAATGGAGTATATGTCATCTCAGATGATTTTGCATTCTTGACGGATTTGAAACGTTGTGCCCATAATACACCTGTACGTAATACATTCCATTTCTTTTTATGTAATAAATTTAATGGTGATGATTTATGCATAGAATCCGAATCATAATTCGATTGTTTCGACATAATTGTGATTTTTTTTAAAATGAATCAAACCATGGAAAAGAGAAAAAAAAACTTTTTTTGTGGGGGGGGAAGATTGTCTATTGAATAGAACCTTTCAGTAGTAGGAGTAAGTAAATGATTTGACTTCGATCAGTAAAATTAGAATTGAATTCCAGATAAGGGTATCTAATATGTTTTCCATATTCATCAAAAAAACGATAGTTTTACTCAATGATTTTTACATGATCTGCACAGATATTCAATTGCTTAGTAACAAATATAATATCAAATTAGGTGCTACTAGGTATTGTGTGTCCGTGTTACATAGATGTGTATACTTGTATATATTTGATATACAAATCAGTACAAATTCTAGACATATATATGTATATATATGTGTGCAGTACTTTTAACCATTGCTACAATTAACTACTATTTATATTTGACTATGAACTAGTTTAATAACTTTGAAAATAGTGATTGTTTGGTGGGTCAATACAATTTCCCTATGTATACCTATCATTTGATTCTATCTTGGATACAGTCAATGAACATTTTTTTGTAAAACTTACATAGAAACACACAAAAAATACAGGGGAAAAAAAGAATTGATGTATTATATCAACAACAACAACAAGAAGAACAACAACAAAAATCAAAATTATCTGGTAGATAACTTAAAGTAAATTTGTTTATCTCATATTTTACAAAAAAAAGAAAAAAAATAGTTGCTAAGGCATAGTTAATCTATGAATTGATTTATGTCATATACATGCTAAATTAGTCTTCATTATGACACGTGCATAAATATGTCAATCATAAAGTACAAAAGTTTCATCATATACATGTATAATAAATATAATTTAAATAGATTCATATCTGCCATATAACCTCTTGCCTTTTAAAGCTTATATATTTGTAATAAATAATCTTGCATAATCAATGAATTTGATTCATTGGATGGATAGTGGCTAGCAGTGGAATCCAGGACTCACACTTCGTTCTATTTGTATCTCATCAGCTGGATGTACCTGCATCTCAGAGTCGATGTTTACTCTGGGACTCGAGTCCCAGACGAAATGCGCGCCTTAGATTCTACTGCAAGCCATTATCCATTTTTGCTTATAATACTTGTGAATTAAGGCAATATCGAGACAATACACAAAATATGCACATCAGGCCAATGAGAGATTGATCAGTTACAGTTTTAAACATCAATGAGAAGATTTAACCGAACAATACCAAGTGAATTTAAATTATCTATTTATCAAAGTATATCATTTTCACTAATTTTTTAGACAATTTCCCAAATAAACCCATGTAACATTAAATTTATTTTAATAATAGGATTTGAATATGTCAATCATTCATTAAGTATTCATTGAAAGAAATTTATGGTGACAGATATAAATAGTGTGTTGCGCCAAATGGAGATTGAGAAGACTGAAATGGAAAAAAGAGAGAAAAAATAAAGCAATAAAAATATCGACAGGACTGAATGGACGATCACGTTTGTCAAAGACAACTGATGGAAGATGTTCAAACGATGTATATAATGTTTAGTTTTCTATATTTTATGAATATTCTGTACTTTTTCATTAAATAATAAAATGATCTCCTCTATCTGAGTATTCGTTCACTAAGATCCTTTGGAAATGTTGGTTATCATGGATTAATAAATCCAGAAAGAGATACTCAAGGTGTGACTATGATTTATGGACCACCTTTGAGCGACGCTAAAATGACCTTGATAATGTCCACCTATTAACTACAACTAAATAATTGTTATAAAGCAGCATGAAGAATTAGCATTATGATTTACAGCTATTAGTTAAGGTTAGGAATTGGATTTAGAGTTTTCATCATGAACTGATATCAGCTAAAATGTAAAGACGCTATTTAGTTGAATAAATAAATGAATTTCAAACAGAAATCCATGACCTGTTACCTAATATCTGATTCGTTCGTCCATAAATTATATTCTCACCATATTCGGAATAAAAATGCAAAAATATTATATGCTCACTAGCGACTGGCTTCATGAGGTATTTCCTGGAGTTCCGGTGAGAAGCAGTAACCAGTGGAGTTCAAACAGGTCTGTTGTGAGATATCAACTCACTGAAGACATTGGTGAAATGGTTGTTCAACTTCGTGGATTGGTTGAAGTTAGACATTAACACCGTTGTATGCCAGCCATTTCAGTGTTCTATCGGTTAAGTCCTGCGTTGGAATCTCGCGTGGCGGTATCGCGGATGCGTAATGCTGAGGAGTCGCACAATGGGACGAAATGGCTGTCCAGTGCTTCCAGGTTTTCCATGATGGTTCAGCTTCAATCGACTCATGATCTCAAGTATATAAAAAAATATGTGACAGAAGTTAAAATAACACTTCTTAGAGATATTGTTCATATTAAGTTAGCATAGAAAATAAATCAACATTGTATTTAAATTATTATCATATATTCACTCGACACAATAAATCACTTCGAAGAATTTATGAATAATACTGTTAAATAATTATCAGAAAGGGGCTTTTTTGAATATTATAGTAATTTAATAGTTGAATTCATTAGTCAATTAAAGCTTAACCACTATTGGAAGAAGAAGAAGACGAGGCGTTTTGTTCTAGTAGGGCATTTCTCAGCAGTGTGCATTCACGATCTTGTTCAAAGATTCACTTTCGATTGGTGATATATACTACTTATATATATTGACATCAGTAGCACACAAAACAGTAGTTCATTTATTCTTAAAAAATACTGAATTATCACACATTGTACTATCAAAATATATATGTAGCCTATTTCTTGATATCAAATTAATACTAAAACTTTATTTAGGTATATTAATATTTCACCGACTCTAATTCAATTGAATGTACACTTTTAACATTCTGAAAATAATTACTTTTAATATCATACTGTGTTGAACAAATTTAATTATACCGCTTCCTTTTCCAGAAACTTACTAATCGTTAACAATATATCAAGATAAAAGAAAATTAATCAGTTTCTGTATTAAAGAGATAAACTGATGAGATTTCCAATTGTTCTTTATGCATAGAAACTATTTACTAAATTTAAAAAATAATAATTAACCTAATTAACATAATTGATTTAATTAATTTTGACAATCTTTCATACAGAGTAAGATTGATTAGAACAATAATCTTTCCTTTTTTCGTTTCTGTATCATTTAATTAAAATGAATTTTACTGTCAGAAGGGGAGGGGGTTTGTAAAAATTTTAGTAAATTAATAGTTGAATGAATGAAACAATTATGGAAAAACTAGAAGCACTGATAATAATTATTATGTGCTCATTAATTACTTTTGTAAGCCATTTTGCAAGTTTGTTTGAAATAAGTAATGAACCGAAATATAAAATGAACACAATCATAGTCAATCAAGGACTCAGTTGCTAAAAGGATAATGCGATAGCGTTTGAAGCGAAAGGTACTAGGTTCGAGTCCCAGAGTGAACATTAACTCTGAGATGCAGGTACATCTAGCTGATCAGTCCCAAATAGGACGAAACGCGTGTCCTGCATTTCACTACTAACAACTATCCTATCATAGTCAATGCTCAATTTCATTGAAACTATCAATTGCAAATTTGGCATTGATACTTATAAATTTAAGGTTGGTTTAAAAGTGTGTTGACTGAACTGCATTTTGAAACATACTAACCGAATTATCAATTTCAATTATCACAATGACTATGGTATCATTGGATCTATTTATCCAGAATAAGTCGATTTGTAATTGATCAACATTTCAGTTAGTATCTATCTTACTTCAAAGTGTTTACATCTTAATAAATCACTTCTCCTAACTATGCATGACCGATAATCACAAACAAAACATTGTTCTAATTTATAGTTGGATAAAACTAATTTGTTTCCTTTTTTGGATTTTGGACTCATAATCATATGACATTATAAGTCACTTATTTTATTGTTTTAAACGAATAGTTAACAAGTATTGCTGAATTACTCTTATAGATGACTTGATGAGTTAAACATTTGAAATCGAATGTGACTTCATTTTTTTTAGTTTAAACATTTGTATTATTATCATTGGAGCGGAATGCAGTGACTAAAAGATTATGCATTCACAAAAGAAACCGAAGTTCCTGGGTATGACCTCTTACTGAGCGGTTGTGTATATTCGCTGCTGAATAGTCCCATACTAGACTATGTAGTGCTTAAAAGTTTTCAATAGATATCTAACTTAGATTGGTTAGTGATTTCAGTGAAATCCACTTGTTTTATGCATACTGCAGATTATCTAAAAATACTATAATTTTAGTCAATTACATTCGAATCGGCTATTTAGTTATTTTACACAATATGAAATCTGAAACATTATCAAAGTCATCTTAGACAGTCAAAAGTTAAACTTTTTCCTAATATTAATATTTGAGATCATGAATTAATTGAAGTTACACCACCATTGAAAACCTGGAAGCACTGGACCAGCATTCAGTGGAGTTCAACCAAGTCTGTTGTAAGATAGTAAGGCGATGAAGACTTTGGTGGATGTGACACTCGATTTCGTGTGTTAGACAATAAAACTGTTGGATGCCGCCTCAGTGGTTTAGTACTTAGGCGCTCGCGAAACAGGATCGTGGATGACCACTTCAGAGGAGTCCCATAATAGGACGAAACGGCCTTCCAGTGTTTCTAGGTTTTCCATGGTTGTCTAATTTCAATTGATTCATAATCTCAACTATTCAAATTACTATAATATCCACAAAACTCCTTCTGATATTTTGTAATACTAATGAAAATTATGAAAAGAAAACATATTAAACAATGAAAACCAAATAGATTTCCAAATACATAAATGATATGTGAATATCCAGATATCTAAAGTATATCGATTTCATGTTACCATGTAATATCTATATAACTCACGTATTTTTGCATGTATATTACCTAAACTAGAATAATAATTCTTTTATTGGTAAAGAGTATAGATCTTGACAGCTGTATTATATAAATATGTATGTGAAAGTCATTTAAATGACCTGCTAAACGAAACAATTAAATGTTAAATGGATAAGAACTAACCTACTTATAGATTCTTATTTATTATCTGTACATATATATCTATATTCCAATGAAGTTTTCTTATTTATCTTATCTAAATAATGAATCTATTCAGTAATCATATGGTAAATGGATGAACATCTTTATGAAAACAAAGCTTACTACCTATTGTAAACCTAAATACATGTAATTTAAGTAGATTTAACCATATTAGTTGGTAGATATTCTATCTTATTCATTCACTGGTGAAATGATACCATTTTTATA